CGGGAACCTACCGGTGCCGCGTGCTCGACTTCGACAGCCCCCCCGAGGTGCAGCTGGAGCGGGAGCTCGGCTTGCACGTGCACTGTGAGCCCCCCGCCCCGTGGCATGCTGGGATACGCGCCAACCCCACCTGGGGCATGCTGGGAGGGGTGTCCACCCTGCCCCGGGGCATTCTGGGATACAGCACGGACCCTGCCCCACGGCATGCTGGGAGGGACACTGACCCTTTCTCAGGGCAGGCTGGGAGGGATGCCAACCCTGCCCCGGGGCATGCTGGGATACTGCGCCAGCCCCACGCTGGAGCATGCTGGGACAGCTGCCAACCCTGCCCCAGGGCATGCTGGGATACCGCGCCAACCCCTGCCCCAAGGGATTCTGGTATACTGCGCCAGCCACCACCCCCAGGCATGCTGGGATACTGCGCCAGCCCCACCTGTGCCAGCCCCGAGTGCCCCGTGGGACACCGGGAGGCAGGCCAGCCCCGCCCCAGAGGCTGCTGGGAGAACATGCCAGCCCCCTTCCCCTTGCCTGCTGGGGTGCCCCAGGGGATGCTGGGAGATGCGCCAAACCCCGTGCCCCGGGGGGACGTTTGCTGCCCCCACACCCACTCACCTGCCCCCCAGACCTGGACACACCGGTGCTGCAGCCCAGCAAGATGGCCACCGTGCCGCTGGGAGGGGACCTGGAGCTGCGCTGCACCGCGACCGGCTCTGAGGCCCCCCAGCTGGCCTGGAAGAAGGTGCGTGGGGGCTGGGGAGGCCTGGAGGTGTGGCTGGGTCTGGGGTCAGGGGTAACAGGGACCGGGTACAACAGGGGCCTGCACTGGGATGCAGCTGGCTCTGGGGTGGAGCATGTCAGGCACTGGGCATAACAGGGTCCCATACTGGGATGCAGCTGGCTCTGAGGTGGAGTGCATCAAGCACCAGGTATAATAGGGACTCAGCCCTGAGGTGCAGCTGGGTCTGGCAGGGAATGCCCCAGGCGCTGGGTGTAACAGGGCCCTGGTCCTGAGATACAGTTGGCTCTGGGGTGGAGCACATCAGGAGCTGGGTGTAACAGGGCTTCACACTGAGATGCACCTGGCTCTGGGGTGGAGCACGTCAAGCACTTGGCGTAACAGGGCCTTGCCCCAAGATGTGGCTGTAGATCCGGCCCTGAGCCTAACCGGGCACCTCCCTGCAGGGGCTGGACCGGCTGGGCCCGGGCCCTGTGCACACGCTGCGCACGGTCTCCTACGGCGATGCCGGGCCTTACACATGCGAGGCAGCTGTGCCCAGCGTGCCCGGGCTGCAACGCAATGATACGGTCCACATCGTGGTAGAAGGTCCCAGCCCGTGGCAGGGGGGGGACTGGGGGGGGGGGGCTGGGGGGGGGGCGCAGCCGCAGCAGCGGTGGGGGGGCTGGAGGAGTGGGCGCAAGCCCTGACTCTTCCCCGCCCCCAGGGCCGCCCAAGATAGAGGACCCAGAGCCAGTTTTTGGTCGTGAGGGGGACCTTGTCCGTCTGTCGTGCCAGGCTCAGGGGCACCCCCTGCCCCACATCACCTGGAGCCTGCATGACGTCACGGTGAGCAGGGGACACACGTTTGCACGCACACACCAGGCCCGGCCCTTCCAGGTCCGGGGCAGGCAGCCTGGGTGGCCTATCAGGTCACAACCCACCCCCCTTGCACGAGGGCCACCCCCATGCCAGGCCCCAGTGCCTCGCACAGGGGCATTGACTACCACGTGTGCGCACGGGCACAGCCAGAGGACAGCGGCGCTGAGGGCCATGTGAACAGCACTGTGTGGGTGCAGATGACGCCTGAGCTCGCCAACGACGGTGTCCGGTGCCACGCTCACAACCGCTATGGCGAGGCCGAGACCAGCTTCAGCCTCCGCATCCGTAAGTCACTAGAGGTTCCTGGGGGGAAGCGGGGGTTCCTGGGGCAGGGCAGGGTGGGCATTGACCTCCAGCCGCGCATTGACCTCCCCATCTGTCTGTCAGTAGGGAAGATCATGTTCGTGCCCACTGTGCCCACCGCGCACCCCACAGGTGAGGGAGTTGGGGGGCTGGGACCTGTGCATCCCTCTCCTGGATGCCAGACATGGGTGTGCTAGGAGGGACCCAGGCATCTGGGGAGACCCCTCCAACCCACATCAGAGGGGAGGACTTCCCCGGTCTCCACAGAGGAAGTGCAGCAGGGCAAGGAGGGGACCCAGGAGTTCAGCTGACCCATCTTCATAGTGGGGGTGTGCAGGGGGCAGGGAACCCAGGCATCTGGCTAACCCATGTCCCTGAAGAGGGGGTGGAGGCAGCAGGGGGCAAGGAACCAGGCATCTGGCTGACCCCTACCCCCACAGCAGGGGGGGCAGGGAACCCAGGTGTCCCGCTAACCCGCGTCCCCGCAGGGGGGCCCTTGGCCGGTCCAGGGGCTGCAGTAGTGGCCGTGGTGGTCTGCGTCCTGGTCCTGCTGCTTGTTGTCGGCTGCTTCTACGGGCTCCAGCGACGCCGGCACCTGCCGTGCAGGGGGGGCGGCGAGAAGCGCTCCCTGTGAGTCCCCCGACCCCTTCCCCTACCCCACAGATGTCCCCACTGTGCTTGGGGGGCAATGGCCATGGCAATGTCCTCTGCTCCCCCATGCGGGCCGGGGGTCTGACACCCCCCCCCCATGTCTGGCAGGACCCCCAGGGCCGGGGGGGTCACAGCACCGGGGGGGGCCACGGAGCTGCGGCCGGATGGGACAGAGCAGAGTCGGGGGTTGCTGAGCCCAGGGGGGGGGCCTGGCCCCGAGGTGAGTGTGGATTTGGGGGGCTGTAGGGGGGTCCGGGGGGGAACCCAGCCTGACTCTTCCCC